AGGACAAAAACAACCTCCCCCAGGATCTGGAGGCCCTCCAGAAGCTGGGAACAGGCCTGTTTCCAGACTTCCAGAAGGCCCATTTTTTGCTCTCCCAGAGCCCCTGCACGGACTCTGCACTTTACCTGCATCCAAAATGGGCCACGTGGAGACTCCTGGGAGGGGAGGGGAGGGGTGGGCGGGGCCTGCCAGTCGGTTCAACTACCGGTCCGGCAAACCAGATGTGAATTTAGCATTCGGTTTGCCCAAACCGGTCCAAACTAGCTGAATCTCATCCCTGATTCTAGGGAAAAAACCTGGATAGGATGACTGCATGACTGAAGATCCATATCAGTTATGCATATTTTTAAAAAGGGGAGGCTTCAATCTTAAAGTTGCAGCTGCTAGTTTGATATTTATTTATTTTTTGCACCTTCTGTCTTGCCCATGGATAGCCCGGGGCAGAACATGCCTAACAGGCAGAAAAGGGACTTGAGGGGAACTAAATAAGCTGTCATCAAGGGCTGCTACAGAACAGAAAGTTGTTCTTACTTGCTTCAAAGTACAGGAATAGAAGAATTGAAAGGGTGCAGATTTCAGTGATGGGGTGGAAGGAGCTCAAAAAGCTAGAAACAATGGTAATACCTGCTAGAATATCAGGGAAGCAGAATAAATCTCTTTGCTTTGACAAGTGAATGAGATGATAGCAAGCCTTTGCCGTCTTTAAATTGTAACGCTTTTCTGGAAAAGTGTTTGGAAGTGTACTTAAAAATGAAAGGTTGCATTTTGGCTGGCAAGTGTTATATTGTTAAAATTCAGGGTGTTCCAAACTTTTGACAGGTAATTGTTCAGAGTTCAAACACTTAGTGATTCAAAGAGTTCAGTGGCAGTTTTTTTTCAGTGAAGGATACAGAGAACCAAAATCATATCCTATAAAATTTAAGTGAAACTTTATTATTGTCTGTTTCTATCGGGTGCCTGCATCGTTATGCTTTTTTTAAACCAAAGTCCTTTTTTGAATATAAATAATAGAAAAACAGCTTAGGAAGAGAATCATATAGCATCCTTGCCTCCAAATATTCATCCAGAGTTTGAGAAATGAATACACATCATTTGCCCTCTTTACAAACTTGATTGGCTGCATTGTATGGCACATTGTTGCATTCACTATGTTGATGTATTGGAATAAAATAGGAAGAGCTAAAAGCTACATCTTGAATCAGCAGGAAAGCTAGCTTGTAAGAAGCATGAAAAAAAGCAATTTGTCACAAAGATAAAGTTAATCCACTAACAGGATTAATAAAACTCTGCAAGGAGGAGCATGCATGCTCCCACTATCAACCTAGCAGATTACTTAGATTTACACAGGGACGTTTTAGTATCTCTCTATCACACACACACTACTATCTGAATCAGTTCATAGACATGGAAGATCAGAGGACTATTTCTGAAAATTTTGTTGTGTTCTCATCCCATGATTTTAACTGGTGTCATTTAGAATCAAACCTTTCTCCAAGCTATCTTGATTGACAGTGAATCAAGGTCTAAGACATCATACTTACTTTTTACACCTTCATCTTTCTTGGGTGAATTATTTCATTCATATTTCGCTTTTCTATTCAATCAACTACTAACAAGGTCTAACAATATAAAATTATAGAATGCAAGGGTGGGACGGAATCTTGGAGATCATCCTATTCAACCCCCTGCCCAGTGCAACAACCCAATTATTCTAGCACAACTGACAGGTGGCCAATCCAGATTCTAAATACTTCTTCCACTACTTTCCAAGGTGTCTGTTTCACTTGAACGGTTCTTGTCATTGCCATTTGTTTTCTTGATGTGGACCTAAAACCTACAATATTCCCTTTTAGTTTAAATCCATTCTTTCTTGTCTTGCTTTCTGAAACAACTCTGAGTAATTCTATTCTTCTACAAGACAGCCTTCTAATATATGTTGATAGTTATGTCCCACCACAGTCTTATTTTCTCAAGAATAAGCAAACCTGGTGGTTCCACTCATTGCTCAGATAGTTTTCCTTCCAAGCCCTAATCGCTATACTTTGCACATGCTCCACTAGTGTGATGCTTAGAAGTGGTTGCAGTGTTCGAAATGCAATCTAACCGATGCCCAGTAAAGAGGAAAAATGACTCTTGATCCTGATAACACATTTTGCTCATGCCAGCTGGGATTGTATTTGTTGGTTCACTTGTTTTTATAGGTCTATCTTACTGTTGGTTCCAGGGGTGGTATTCAGCAGCTTCTGACCAGTTCTGGAGAACCGGTAGCGGAAATTATGAGTAGTTCAGAGAACCAGCAAATACCACCTCTGACTGAAGATTTTACAGTATCCTTCCCCTGCCACTCCCACCAAGCCACACCCACAGAACCGGTAGTAAAAAAACTTGAATCCCACCACTGGTTGGTTCATGTACAACTTGATCCACCAAGACACCTTGATCCTTTCCACTATTTTATATTTGTTCTTCTTTTTTAAAAAAAAACAAAAACAAATTTTATTAGTTTTTACAAAACAATACACAAACAAACAAAGCATAGAATATAATAACATGAAAGATCTTTTCTGAAAAAACCAATAGAACATCTTATTTAGAGACAGAATAATTCCAAATTATCACATTTCCATACAAGCACAATTTAATATATATATTTACGTTATCTGTTCAACTTCATATCTTATCCCGACTTCTCTTTATTTCTCCGTTTCATTCTATTATTCAAATTATATTTCTTGTTAATAAAAATTTTATTGCTTTTCAAGGACAATACACAAACAAACAAAACATAAAACATAAAAACATAAAACATCTTTTCTGAAAGTTGCTTGGTCCCGGGTTAAAACTCTTTGTACAGACACAAACTCAAAAATCATATTCATTTTATATACCATTCCATATCTTATTACCATTTTCAATTTTCTATATAGCTTCTCCCCTCTTTTAACTTTCTTAGTTTTATTTTATTTATCTCATCTCAGTTCAAATCATAATACTTATCATTCTTTGTCTGTTCTATTTCCAGCTATCCATTCGTCTTTTCTCTTTAAACAAAACTTCTCCTGTACACTGATTGGAGTATGACGCCTTTAACTCTTTCCCCTAACTTAATAATACTTAATATAACACATAACTTGTATTGGGATTCTGTTTAGTACATTCTAAAGTTACACAATGTATTTTATAAGAAAAAACAACAACAACAAAGGAACAAATTTATAGGTATATAATGTAGTTAAGACCACTATCAATGCCATTAAAAAACTAATCATAGATATTAATACTCATTTATATCTTAAGCATTTTATTCTAAATACACATATAAACACACGATCTTGTATTTGTTCTTCTTTAAATGCATCTTACTATTTTGTCCATTGGTTTAGCCTAGCAAGTTCCTCCTGAATCTTCTAAGATGTTCACTCTTTCCTCCTCTTTCTTTGTGTCATTTGCAGATTTGATAATAGTATATTAACCCCTTGTTCAAATGATTTATGAATATGTTGAACTGAACTAGGCCTAGAATGGAAATTTCTGGTATGCCACTCAATATTTCCTTCTTTATGTACAATGATGATTAATGCACACTCAAATTCAAAGATTCTCAAGAAAAATATTATAAAACATACATAAAATCAATACTGAAATTAATAATTAAGCATATATAAATAGGAATTTTCAATAAAGGAAGTTTGTTTTGTTTTGTTTTAATTTAAGATATGTTTGTTTGCAGAAATGGAAAGTTATAGTTTAACATATCTTTAGTTCCAAAAAAATCAGTCTGAAATTCTTTTCAAAGAAGAGAAAAAATAAAGGGGAGGCAAATGTTTTATATTCTGGGGAAGTTAGAGACTAAGTTTGGATTGTCAAAGATATAATTATGAATTTACTGTTTTAATTTTGTGTAAAAATTATAATTTGATATCACTAAATTAAGATCAGAGTTGGTCATATGCACAAATATTTTACAACTCTCCTCCCTGTTTTTTGTGATAATCTGTAAGTCTTCCATGGATATTCCAATAATCTTTATTCATCCCTCTTATCTTCTTCCTCTTCTTTAATTTCCCCAAGAGTTGCTTGGCATGGTTGTTTTTCTTGTCCGTAATCTGCTTGCATCATATGCCCTGAGTGCATGGGTTTTTTTCTTGTTGATCCACATCCCAAGGGAGCAATCAATGTTTTACTAATTGTGGTTGTGGTTTATCCGTAGTATCATTCAGGCTCTTTTGACCTTTTCAGAAAATGAATAGAATACAATAGAATAACAAAGTTTGAAATTTTGCTTAATGAGAAAAGATAATAGACAGCTGAAACAGGACAGACAAAGAATACAAGTATGATGATTTGAATTGAGATGAAATAAATAAGATAAAATTAAGAAAGTCGAAAGAGGGGAGAAGCTATATAGAAAATGTAGAATGGTAATAAGATATGGAATGGAATATGAAAATGAGCATGAATTTGAATTTGTGTCTGCACGAATGCTCAAAAAAGCAAAAGATGTTTTATGTTTTTATGTTCTATGTTTTGTTTGTTTAAAAATCAATAAAATTAAAAAAAAAATAGAATAACAAAGTTGGAAGGGACCTTGGAGGTCTTCTAATCCAACCCGCTGCTTAGGCAGGAAACCCTATACCAGTGGTGGCTAACCTTTTTGGGCTCCTGTGCCAAAAATTGTGTGTGTGCTGGCGCTCACATGCCAGCACCCAGAAGGCAATGCACATCTCCCATGCCCCCTGCGCATGCGTGTGCAATCCCCCCTGCCTCCCACCCCCCCTTACCTGTACTGCACCTCACAGCTGATTTTGAGCTGTGAGGTGCCCACATGCACAGCGAGGTAAGTTTGCCTGTGGCTCATGTGCCGGCACAAATGGCTCTGCGTGCCACCTGTGGCATACATGCCATAGGTTCGCCATAACGGCCCTATACCATTTCAATCAAATGTTTGTCTAATTTCTTCTTAAAAGCTTCCAGTGTTGGATCATTCACAATTTCTGAAGGCAAGTTGTTCCACGGATTGCTCTAACTGTCAGGAAATTTCTCCCTAGTTCTAGGTTGCATCTCTCCTTGATTAGTTTCCACCCATTGCTTCTTGCCCTGCCCTCAGGTCCTTTGGAGAATAGCTTGACCCCCACTTCTTTGTGGAAGCCCCTGAGATATTGGAACACTGTCTCATGTCACCCCTAATTCTTCTTTTAATTAAACTAGTGATACCAAATTCCAGCAGTCGTTCTTTATATATGTTTTAGCCTTCAGTCCCCTAATCATCTTTGTTGCTCTTCTCTGCACTCTTCTTTCTAGAATTTTAACATCTTTTTTACATTATGGCAACCAAAACTGGATGCAGTATTCCAAGTATGGCCTATAACAGGAATTCCTGCTGCCACCTGCATTGCTGTTAGTGTTGCTGAAGGTCTGAGTCTTCCCATTGCATCACAGTTGTAATTAAAATATAGGCATAATTATTAGGGATAATAATGAGGGTGCAATCATCTATTTGTCTGAGAGAGATCTGGATTTAACTCAATTGCACTAAGAAACTTATCTAATTTTCAAGTTACTTAAACTTTAAATTAACTATTTTGCTTATCCATTTTTTTAATGACTTAAAGTTTAAGTTAATTAAATTTCAATTATATGTTCTGCAATACGGCTCAACAATAAATTGCATGTGGGAGGTATATACATGTATATATTTCTTACAAAGCAAGAGAAATGCATAGTTGGAAAGCGATAACCAATTTATGTATATGTCAGTATATGCCAGTACACACAGACTTGTGCAACCTTAACAAATGAACTCATAATCCAAAACAAATTAGGTTTGTTTCAAACAAATTAACGTACAAATGTTTGTCCTGGTTTGGCCAAAAGAATATTCAAATAGTCTTTGATTTGCTTTAAAAATACTGAAGAATTAACACATTAAAAATACTGAAGAGCATCTTTAATTTTATAATAACAGAGCACTATTAAACATTCTAATCAAATATACAATAAAATAATTAAACTTCTAATACTAAAAGTAAGACATACATAAAATAAATAAGATTGAGTTTGAGAGATCCATGAAAGGTCTGAATTGTTCCTAATCAGTATATAAATGTGGAGCTGTAATAGATGAACCTATCTCTTAGGTTTGTTTCATAACATACTTGGAAAAGATTTTGTCTATGAATATAAAGTACAGACTAACTAATATAAGTAAATATATCAGTCAAGTCTGATATAAAAGTCTGCATGCCCCTTTAAATGAATGGAGATATACCTCCATACCTAGTACCAATATGTTTTAACTTAGGGGTGTCAAATCCAGTTTTACTGAGGGCCGCATCAGGGTTGTGTTTGACCTTGGGGGGCTGGGGTGGGTGTGGCCAGCTCAACATCACTTGTGGGGTGGCCAGGGTGGGGGTGGCCAGCTCAACATCACTCGTGTTGGGTTGCTCTGCCAGCAAAAACAGGTTCCCGAGTTCCATTTTCGGCTGCGACGGCTTCTGCCAATAAAAACAGAGTGCAGGAGGGCTGCCCATGGCCCTCCTAAGCTACGTTTTAACTGGCAAAGGCACCTCGGGCCAGTCCTTCACTATTGCCAAGGCAGCCCTACGGGCCAGATCTAAGCACCTTGCAGACCAGATCTGGCCCATGGGCCTTGAGTTTGACACCCCTGGTTTAGGTTGTTCCTCCCCCCCTCCCCCACTCATGACTGTATATAGTAAGATCAGATCTTATTTCAGCCTATAATGGCTAGAGACAACACATGTTGTTGTAATTATTAACTTGGTTGGTTACACAGTCAGTAAGATGTTTAGACTGGATTTGACATTTTCATCCACCTATTGAGTCCTTCCCAAGGACCTGGGATAGTAAGATGTTGTTGTTTAATGGTGTTAAAGGTATTGTCACAGCATGTAAGCTGTTCCAAGTAAAACTGCCTTTTGCGATTGACTGGTGGTGACTTTGTCAATGGCAATGGTGTTCAAGTGGTGCTCCAGATGTTTGGGGATTGCCTATCACTATTGGTACTATTGTTGCTCTCTTTTGCCACAGTCTTCCTATGTGCAAGCCCTTTGTATTTTGTAATTTTCTCCAGTTCTTTCTCTTCCATTCTGATGTCACCAGGAGCCACAACATTAACTATCCAGATTTTGCATTGATTTGTAGACCAGATCCGTAGTCTGGACCTTCAGTTATTTCTCAGTAAAAAGTAAAAATAAAAATAGAAGTTTGAAAATATTTGAGAATTATTCAGTATCTGTACTACTGAAGCAACTTCAGAAGGAACATAGTCATTCCCTGTAAAATGCTTCTTTAACATCCCATATTTTAATTTTATACATTTATTGTGTAGTTACCATGTAGTAACTGAGAGTTGCATGTCACTTTCAGGGAATCTTTAATGCAGAATAATTTTTGTAGGAAAATTCAAAGCAATTTGGAATGGGAGCTCTCTGATTCATTGCAGGCAAATAGCTGTATCTGTTCCAAAGATCTGGGCTGCCTTCATTGTGGCCACTATAGCACTGTGTTTCCAAAGTACAGACCAATATATGATATGGTCATTGCCATTCTTGAATATATTGCTACTGGTAAGTATAAGCATTTTCCCTAATGGTGGCAAGGTCTCAGCTTCTGTGGTCACCTCCAGATCTCATTTTCCCCTCTTTGCAATCTTTTTGTTGTTGTTGTTGTTGCTTTAAAATATGCTCTGCACTCTCTTTGTCATGATGGTAAATTAGTGACACTCCTATTTACACCACTACTAAAGTAACTCGAAGACCCTAAATCATAGCTGAGTGCAGCGTATCTGCTTATAGATGCTTTTTTCCCCCCGAGGAAGTGGAGGTGACAGGATGGTTATTATTGCCAGGCGCGTGTCTTACGCTGCTGTTTATGCAGAAGAGCATGCCATTTTTCTCATTCCGTTCTGGCTCCAGGCATGCCTCCTGCTGAGTCCTGCTGCTTGCCGTCTTCCTACCTGAACATGTGCCAAATCTTTAATAACCAGTGGTGATCTCAACCTCTTCTTATAATAGTTACTGCAGTTACCGCCTTAATTCGTAATCTCAAGGGTCTTGCGGTGGGACTCCAGGAGTTGTGGTCTTTCAGCACCAGAGCGGCGGACAGCTCCTTCCAGTAGGGTAAAAGAGACAAGAGAGACGCAAAGCGATCTATCTCTTCCCAGGATAGATTCCCACGGAGATCCGGGAAACGGGCTGCGTGGAGAAAGGCATCAAGTAGCTTTAGCGCATGACTCGGAGTTAATGAGCCACTTGCAAACTTCTCGCGTTGGATCCGTAGACTTTCGCGCAGCCTCTCGTCTTTTTTCTCAAAACCAACTCTGTGATTTTAAACGGCGGAGATCCTCCCACTTAAAGGCGGGGAATGGGGTGGTCTCAGGACATCAGGAGCGCTCATAAAACCCCACCTCTCGTTTTTAGGACTGCAGCTGTCATTGGCTAGATGAGGAAGTACTGGAAGAGATGTTAAGCTGGCTGCTTCCACCCATGGCTCTGCACACACACAGGGGCGGGTTGTGCCGGGGAGAACGGGAGGCTGGGCTCCGAGGTGGCGGAGGCGGTGGAGGAGGAGAAAGCGGTGGCGGAACCGATGTTTCCCCAGCCTGCTTGCCTACTTCGGTGACCGAGCCGCTCCTGCTGCTGGGTTGCTGCCTGCGGCCGGAGGATCCGTCGGAGCGAGGGCGGCTGCTGACGCCGCCGGTGGAGATGATGGCGGAGGGCGGCGGCGGCGGCGGCGGGCAGCGGCTCAAGGCGCTGTCCCTGTTAGAGGCAGCCCGCTGCCGCTATGAAAGCCTGCAGATTTCCGACGATGTCTTCGGAGAATCGGGCCAGGACAGCAGCGGCAACCCATTTTACAGCACCACCGCGGAGTCCCGCTCTGCCTCCGAGGAGGAGGACGAGGAAGAGGAGGAGGGCGAAAGCCCCGAGGGAGGACGCAGCCATCGGGGCAGGACTGGTGGACGCCAAGGCTCCAAGGCGTCGGCAGCGGCAGAGCAGGAGGAAAAGCAGCAGCAAGTGCAGGGTGGCTTGGAGGCGAGTTTCCTGAGTCCCGCGGAGCAGCAGCAGCGGGAGGAGGAGGAAGAGGAAGGCGAGAGGGGCTGGAGCCAGAGCCTGCGGAACACCCCGACCCCTTCCTTCAAGGATAGCAGCGGTAAATCGGCTCGCGTCTCCTGAATGACTTGGCCGGTGACTCAGGATGTGTGGGGTCTCTGTGCGTGCGTGCTGCAGAAGTAGGGCTCCTGTTCTGGAGGAGTGTGGGAGAAAGTGGGGTTGACGAAACGAGGCAGTGAAAGGTCGCCCGACCACCCCCTCCCCCCCAATTCGAGACTTCAAAAGCATCCCGGACCTCCACCTTAGAGGGGAGGGGGAGAATCTTTGGGTTAGGAAAGACGCCCGAATTCAATGCTGGGAGAGACTGTTTCTCCCCATTGGGTTGTTTAGAAGCAGCCCTTTCCTTAAATCAGTTCCCCTCACTCCCGTGCCTTCCAAATGCTTTGGACTCTAACTACTAGCACTCTTGGCTCGGTGATCAATAGTCATGGTGGCACATGGTAAGAGCTCAGCTCAGCTGGAGGGGGGGGGGAGTTGGCTGCCTGAAAGGGTTGCATTCACTTTATTTCCAGAGAAGTGTAGCTAGTTCGGGTGACCCTCTGTTGCATTGGAGCGATTGTGTCGCCTCTGCTCTTTTTCTGCAAGAGGAAAGGGTCAAGACAGGGTTTTGTGGAAAAGCACAGGCTCCTCAATTGTGGTCCTTGTCAGACTACATTGTAGGAATCAGGACAAGACTCCTTGATGGTAGGAAATTGTGCAAATGCAAGGAGGAGGCAGATCTCCAGCCAATGCCAGTCACTGAAATTTTATTATTGAAATTTCAAGTCAAAGTGAATATAATTCCGTGATATAAAATGGGAAAGTAGGAAATTATGCATCCAAATCTATTTGGAGGGCAGATCCTCAAAGTAATTACAAATATATAATGGGTTGCATAGATTCTGAAATGCAAAAATCCTGGCCTACTGAGCTTAAAAAGGTGCCTTGGAGTGTGACACTCTAGGTAAAGGGACAGCTGTCTACCATAACTCCCCTCAATCTGTTATATACATATGTTGGGGCTGTTGGCAATTCTGCTAGCTGTCCTCCAAAATATATTTCAAATAATCTGCATCTTCCAAGTAATATGAACTGTTGTGGTAGATCACTTTCTTACTGCAAGTACCTGGGTATTCAGCTGCTGAGCCCTGCCAGCTAATTGTAAAGAATTGGGCACTAACTCATAAACATCTGAATATCTTTTGGGCATCTGTAAAGAATTTTGGATCTCCAGGGTAATGGTGACAGCCTAGCTCTGAATGCACTCTAGTTTA